TAATATATAAATATATATATATATATATATATATATAGATATAAACATATATATATATATATATATAGATATATATACATACATATATACATATATAGGTATATCCAAGATACATAACGGATAGTAGATTTCTGTGTAGTATGGCCATAATCAATCGTTCTGATTACGTGCGGCCCGTGCAATTGTACTTCCTCATACGCCTACCGATATATAACTCAAATTGAAGCTCACAGTGTACAGATTTCATGCTGCACCCTTTTATTTGCTACGAGACTACCGAACCTAATTGGGAGGATGATTACTACGTTTTTAGTGCGCTATACCAATCGGGGACTGTTTCGTGAGAATAGCCGTAGTCAACAACGACTTCCTCTCCTTCCTTCACATCTTGTATGCTGCGGATACACTTGATGTCGCCGAAAACGGGATGGAAAAATCTGTAGTAACAAAGAGAATAAAAAAACCGAGATGGATTAATATGTAGTAGCAAAAGAGAATTTAGAAAACGGGATATAGAAATCGGTAGCAACAAAAGAGGCGACTCCGTTCGAAGTCTATAAATATGAGTAGATATACATTTGGAGAGGGTTTCTGATCCAAAAAATGTGCTTCTTGTCATGAAGAAGCGCTCGTTGAACATTATTCATAAAACTATAACTATACAACGAGCGGCTGTACAGGTGTAACAACATACAACACTGCTCACAGCAGAAACTGCAGGTAAAATGAATATACTGATTATCGTATCGATTAATCGGAATGTCTAGTAATAACACTTTGACTGTTAACAGAATGGATGGGACAATGACACCAGTATTACAATTACTGACAGGTGGACAAGCCCGGAGTACAAACTGCCAAGGCCCAAATGACTTACAAATTGACCCCTCATCCTGATAATTTAACCCCCCACACACACCCGCCCCGCGCCCACAATCCCCTATCCTTCCCCATAATGAGCACAATTCACTAAATAACCTGCTAGTGACACCTCCAAACTCCATCCAGTACTTAACATATTTGTTCAATTATAAACATATAAGTGTTATTAGAATAATTGTTTACTGACGGTCGCAAACTGAATCCGAGCACATCACAGCTCAGATGTGCGGACATTGTCTATGCAGGAGGCAAAGCACACCCACAACAGAAAGACCAACGCCATATACAGACGAAGGTCAACACAGCCACCCAATCTCAGTGGTAGAAACTCCGGTGTAACTACAGTCACGAAGACGAAGAATACCCCACAGACACATACACGGCATATACTCTGCTAGAGAGGCATAGGGATGAACTTGTGGGTCAACAGACGCACTCATCAAGATACAGAAGTACATGTATATGCCTCTACTATTAAAAGTATCTACACCTGGATCACCAACCAACAATAGAAGTATCCCTACTTCCGGACACCCCCGATAATCACACCTAAATGGCCTAAGCAGTTTGCCGTCTCACTGGGCAATACAAATACAAGCCAAGCACATACACGTCGTATTTGGCGTTCGGACGGGTTGAGTGGTTGGCTTTATGCCCCAAAGTGTTCCGATAGTGTGTCAGGCTGTCATAGGGTAAAGGGACATCTATGACAACATCCTCGTTGAGCGTGATAGTGTTATTGTTCAGCTCCCTATGCATGGATACAGCCCACGAGCAGGTATAGATGTATTAGATGAGGAATAAATCGCAAAGGTATCAGAAGTGCAGGTACAAAATGAACAAGGATTATGAAAAATACCTCAGTGCATTGAAAGTGTGACTGGGTAGGTAATTGGTATATGTGGGCCTGGATTGAAAAAGCAAGTAAAAATTGAGAAGCAGTGTATATAGTTGTTATATATATATATATATATATATATTATATATATATATATATATATATATATATATATAATATATATATATATATATATATATATATATATATA